GGTACCAGCACAGGAAAAAACTCATCCATGACTCCCAGCATGCATTGCGGCATAAATAAATTATGCCGCTGAATTGTCCACTTATTTTCTTTAATTCTTACTAGGTGCTTTTATTTTTGTTTTTGTGTTGAGTTTTAGTAGCGTGTTTTGTGATGTTCAGAGTCGATCTGTTTATTAATTTTTTTGATTGTCACCGTTGTTGAGATTCATACACTGATTCTTCATGTGTGTGTTTCATAGCATATAAGAACTTTTTTTTTTTTTTGAGTGATGTGTTATCTTTCATAATAGCCCGCTTGTTATTTCGCTCTAATATGTTACCATAACATCACTTTGGTACATAAAGAGACTCTGGACAAAATCAGTGAACCAGTTTTTTTAAAGATGGCAGTGTTATTTGCTAATCATAACCAACAGCATTACATGTTGTGCTTTCGGCCCTTTTTTACAACAACAAATGTGTTGAAAAACACATCAGTTAAACCAGCCAAACAAAGACAATGTTATAAAAAATCAAGGTTCAAGATCCCAGCTAAAGCAAACACTGATCTCCATCATGGTAGTATCCGAAAACAACAACATCTAAACCTCTGTTAATTTTCAATTTGAGTTAAAGTCATGTTTTTAGTTATTTTTCTGTTGCACATTAAGTGTTTGCAGTTTTATACTAAGAAATATTCCTTCTCGGTGGACTCAAATGAAATAAGTTCACAGTACTAATATCGTATGAATGCTAGTTTTTAAACTCGAACAGTTTGAAGCAATGGGAGCGGAGTTAATTTCCATGGTAGAATTACGGTAAAACACTGTAAAAATTAAGAGTTGTAAATTAACGGTTGAGAGCTGTAAATTAACAGTACCTTACTGGCAACCCTGCTGCCAGTAAATTATTGTTATTTAACGGCACCATTTTTTACAGTGTACAAACAAATGTAAAATTACAAAAATAATCTGTAATTAATACAATAACAAAACCATTAGATGATAAAATGGTCAAATGACTGGCAGCAACAGCTGACAAACAAAAAACATAAAATTAAAGCAAAATCTCATTTAAATAAGCTGAAAACACTGTTATTTTACAGGTATTTCCTGAATTTTTATGATCAAACACCTTTACTGAAAAACAAAAGACAAAAAAACGTTCAAATGACTGGCAGCACAGGGTGCAAAACAAAAACCTTAAAATGAAAGTGAAATCTCCTTATTTAAACAATCTGAAAACACTGTTAATTTACAGGTATTTCCTAAATTATTACAATCAAACACCTTCACTGTAAAATTAACTAATTAATTAATTAAACGTCACATGACTGGCAGCAACAGAACATGAAACACTAACAGATCTCTCTAGATCTCAGCATCTTCACTTATTACAAACCAATCTGACTTTATTTCTTTCATACAAAACTTCTTATTGAGAATTAACAGAGGTTTAGATGTTAAAGTTTTATTGAAAATAATAACGGTTGAAGTCACCGTTGTGGGGATAAGCATTTGCTTTAGTTGGGATTCTGACCCTTAATTTTTTAACAGAGGTGAGACTTTCAAGTCACAAGCAAGTCTTCAAGTCATATCCGAAGTTCTCAAAGAGTTAAAGATAATAAGATAATGAAGTGGCTAATTAAATGATGATTGTGCATTAGTAATGAACACCTGCTGTTAACAATCACCATCATTAAAGAAAAGAGAAATATTAGAACTACACCTGACTTTAACCACAGCCTTGGATGAAATAAACTGAATAAAAAAGAAACCGCACACCATAATTGCACCATAATTGTGGTCAAGGTTTGCTTTAGGTAGTCTCTTGACCCTTTTGCTAATTCAAAACAATTTGCTTTGAAACAATTACAATGTAGTTTCACGGCAAACGCTTGTGCATTGCTGAATCAAACCTTGAAACCAGCTTACACTTTCTACCTGTAGCTCATGATGAACAAACATACAGGATGTGGTCTTTCTTTGGTTTATTGACTGACATTCAGCATTATTGAAGTTAAGAAATAAAAACACTAAACAAATACCATCACAAAGCTCCAATAATGAAAGAAAAAAAAATTGTAATAGCTCAGGGTTTTAGACATGAACACTTATCATACGATCCTCAACAGTGGTGACAATTTTTCATATTTTGAAAATGATGATGGGAGTTTTTGCTATGTAACCAGTACTATGTGTTACCCAGCATGCATTGCAGCATGAAACATCTTTGTTTGCACGCTGAAGTTTCACAGGGCAAAGCCTAAACCTATAAATGAACATAAGCTATTTTGATATTAATCAGGCCAGCTCATAATGAGTATCTCTCATCATATAACAACAGCTAATTTCCCCTCATTGTAGAGCACTGACCTCTTTGCTTTTCATCACCACATGCATTGCTACCGAGATATCTAACACAGGAGTCAAAGATCAAGAGTCCAACTAAAGCAAACACTGATCTCCATGATGGTGGCATCATTTTAACTAATTAAACATCAACATCTGATCCTCTGTAATACTTAATAACAGCAGGGTACTATGTGTTACCCAGCATGCATTGCAGCATGAAACATTTTGTTGATTGTCACCATTGTTGAGATTCATATGCTGGTTCTTGATGTCTGTGTGTGTCCAATCAGTACTGGACTTCAAATATTTAGATGTGTTACATAGATTTAAAATGCATTCACTGTAACTATTGGAGCAGCTCTTTGTTTGCACGCTGAAGTTTCACAGGGCAAAGCCTAAACCTATAAATGAACATAAGCTATTTTGATATTAATCAGGCCAGCTCATAATGAGTATCTCTCATCATATAACAACAGCTAATTTCCCCTCATTGTAGAGCACTGACCTCTTTGCTTTTCATCACCACATGCATTGCTACCGAGATATCTAACACAGGAGTCAAAGATCAAGAGTCCAACTAAAGCAAACACTGATCTCCATGATGGTGGCATCATTTTAACTAATTAAACATCAACATCTGATCCTCTGTAATACTTAATAACAGCAGGTGTTCATCACTAATGCACAATCATCATTTAATTAGTCACTTAATTATCTCATTAACTTTAACTCTTTGAGGACTTGGGATATGACTTGAAGACTTGCTTGTGACTTGAAAGTCCCACCTCTGCTTTTTGATGTCAGCTTTTCTTTGGCTGCTATAATTGCGTGTTTTTAAAGCATGTTTGTTATAGCAAACATTGCTAGTGAAGAATCTGATCAGATAAACCTTGCTATTTATTGATGATGAGTTAGTCAACATATAGTCTGATATAACCTGATCACATCATGAGCGTTGTCTCTGAATTTGTTAGATTTTAATGTTGCTTTTTTTACTGCAGTCTTGTGAAGTTATGACAGTCAGGAATTCACTTTATATTTAATCATTATATAGAAAGTGTCTTGAATGGAGGCTTTTTGACACACAAACATCAAGAATCAGCACATAAATCTCAACAAAAAGCTTGTTTTGTGATGATCAGAGCTGATCTTTATATTTTGTTGATTGTCACCATTGTTGAGGTTCATATGCAGATTCTTGATGTCTGTGACTCTACTTACTAAGTAATTTCTTCAAAGTGTCTTACAAACCTTCAAAATATGAAAGCAGACCTACATTCAAAGCAATACAATTTTAAGACCAAAAAAAAAATGAAATTAATAAATTTAATATGCTCAGACTTAAAACACTTCTGATGAGGTTAGTGAATCAGATCACTATATGAAGACTAGGAGATCAGCATCAGTATGTAAACAACTTCATCTGATCAGATTTTTTCTAGCAGATTTTGCTGTAACAAATGTGTTTTAGGAACACAGTTATAACAGCCTGAAAAAAAAGCATTGTTAAAAAAATCAAGGGTCAGAAGCCCAACTTAACTTAAACACTTATCTCCGTAACGGTGACTTTAATTTCAATAAAATATCAACATTTAAACCTCAGTTAATTCTCAATAAGAAGTTTTGTATGAAAGAAATGAAGTCAGACTGGTTTGTAATAAGTGATGCTGAGATCTAGAGATATCTGTTAGTGTTTAATGTTCTGTTGGGATTTAAAGGGATTTAAACCATTGTGCTGAAGAGTAGAGCCTGTGCTTCAGTCCAGGAGAGGACCAAGAAACATTGGTGTTATGCTCTATGTCACTTTATTTAAAGGCAGTAACTGGAGTTGCTGATGCAGTAATAGTTATTAGTTTTTGATTTTGTGCTGTTGTTAACAGCAAAAAAATTTTAAGTTTCACAATGATAATCCAGACAATACTTGTAAAGTAACAGTTAAAAAAAAACATTTAAGAAAAAACAGGATGTTGTACCTTAATTTTACAGTTTTTGTTTGGCAGCTGCTTCTGCCAGTCATTGTATCTTTACGTGACTTTAATTTCAATAAAATATCAACATTTAAACCTCAGTTAATTCTCAATAAGAAGTTTTGTATGAAAGAAATGAAGTCAGACTGGTTTGTAATAAGTGATGCTGAGATCTAGAGATATCTGTTAGTGTTTAATGTTCTGTTGGGATTTAAAGGGATTTAAACCATTGTGCTGAAGAGTAGAGCCTGTGCTTCAGTCCAGGAGAGGACCAAGAAACATTGGTGTTATGCTCTATGTCACTTTATTTAAAGGCAGTAACTGGAGTTGCTGATGCAGTAATAGTTATTAGTTTTTGATTTTGTGCTGTTGTTAACAGCAAAAAAATTTTAAGTTTCACAATGATAATCCAGACAATACTTGTAAAGTAACAGTTAAAAAAAAACATTTAAGAAAAAACAGGATGTTGTACCTTAATTTTACAGTTTTTGTTTGGCAGCTGCTTCTGTCAGTCATTGTATCTTTACAATCCAGCCACATACGTAAGGATTATTAAATAATTATTCATTTAATTAATTAAATAATTATTATTAATTTATGCTGATGATTTGGATTAAGGAGTGACCTGATATAAAACTCCCACTAAACAGTGTCAGTCATCTCAAGTAAATCTCTCTTCTGCCTGTCTGTGTGCTGTAGTTGAGTAAAAAGCAGAAGTATGTGGAACGGGTGGAGCGGTTGCAGCAGGCACTAGCACAACTCCAGGTCGCATGTGAGAAACGTGAGCAGCTGGAACGACGTCTACGTACTCGCCTGGAGAGAGAACTAGAATCATTGCGAACGCAACAGGTCAGTGCTTGAAACTTCTTCATTAGAGTACCAACACTTGTCATCATGTCGTGAAGGCGCTGTGTGTTTCGTTGTGAAAGCGAAACTACTTTGTTTGGCCTTCGAAAAGAGGACGATATCTGCTTCATCATGCCTGGAGCTGATCCGTGCTGGTCGCTGAGGAAATACATCAACTTCGCGCTGTGGATTGCCGGATCGGCTTTCACCGTGGACGAAGCGGAGTCCAGCCCGGAGTCGTCACATGTGGTTGCCGCGCAAGCCCTCCGGACGCTCCTTTGTCGAATCTGCCGGCCGCGCCGTTCTCAAGCC